TTCTTATCGACTTCCGTTAGTTCTCATTTCTTCCTAGGGCGAAAGAGGAGCGAGCTTGATGATTGCACAAACGGAAGCATCGAATTCACATATCGAGTGACCCGTTCTGATTTAGTTTAACAAAGGTCGCTCCTCGTTCACTATCATCCTCATTGCCAGTTAGGTCCTCTTTCTGGTTCGACTGTCCCAGTAGTGCTCTCTTCATTCATCTCTTATATCTGCCCATTTCACTTTCAACACCACGAGAAAATCATTTTCGTAAGTTCCCGTGGTACATTGTCCTTTGTTCATTCTTTGTAACTTTGTTACCAACTCCGTCACTGATTAGAACAAAGTTACGTCCCAAATACCTTTATTCGATGAGAACGAATGTTTGTAAACGGATGACGACTGATGGTGCGAAACCATTCAGACATTTTACAAAGAAAACAAAGCAGAACGAGTCTCAACTGACCGCTGGGTGAATGGTTCTGTGGGTGTCTGCGTTTGTGCCCATGCCAGGAGGAGTTGCAAAATTCAACGAGGCGACAATTGGCTCAGTGTCTCGTTACTTTAAGTAATCACGGGTCACAAAAGGTTGACCTTAGTTCCACTTTATAGACTATAGTTGCACAGTTTGTTTCGTGCTCTCTTGTTGTACATTAGAAATCTCAGGCCAATGATTCGACCTCCTTAGTGAGCCGTTTTGAAACCTGATGTGTCCGTTTCCCCTGAAAGGGCTAGATACCAATTCCTTATCAACCCCAATACACTCACCTGCAGTCATGACGACGAGACTGCACCTTGATGTGGCGTGATAGCTTGTGCACCTCTGTGACCCAGCGAGCTACACAGGATGGCTTTACAAAGCCCCGAGGTCTTAGCATGCCTGGAAGGTCATTGGGTAGAGGTCAGACGAGGTTCAGTCTCCTGGTCCTACAGGTTTGGGGTTCGCCTGGAATGGGCATTTCAGTCGATAAAAAGCGGTGGAGGAGTAATCGATCCAAGTAAATGGGCCTCAACTTCGCCTCGCTTGCTGCCTTGCGGTTAGATTCTTGTTAGAACTAAAGGCTTTGAACGAGAACCATAATCTTTCTCCTGCTAAGTGGCTGGACACCCTAGCAGTACCCGTCCACCAAACCTCAATGTATACACAAAATAAAAATAATCCCATACTATATCGGTCGTCGCGCAGGATAATCAGGACCGCACTGCCCATGGCATCGAGCGCGGTGGGTAAATATCCCAACGTTTGTTTAGCTCTTTGTCTCCCGTTCTCAACCCTCTCCCTTTACCCTTTCTTCCGACCTGTAATAGTCCCTCAAGCAACTTGNCCAAAGGTCATTGCCAAATAGCGCTGTAAGTGATTTACCACGGAATGGATTACAGATTCTAAAGCCCCGGCAATCACTTAATCTGGGGCCCTTCAATGTGAGGACTTTGATGCACCTAGGTCAACAAGCTTGTCTGGCTCGTACAATGGAATCCTTAGGGATCGATATTTGGTGCGTGTCGGAAACTCAAATCCAGGATCTTACCACTAAGCCACTTGAGCGCTCCAGATTTGTCGACGAGATACTTTCTTCGCACATCAGGCGACGATGAAGATCGTTCAGTAGGTCAGCGCGGGATAGGTATTGTACTGATCAATAGGGCGGAGTCCTCTCTTATCAATTGGATCCCCGTCAACAGACGTTTGTGTGCAGTGCGTCTCCAGGGTTCAATCAGCGTCCGGAAGGGAAGCAAAACCAAAAGGTGTTTGTTCATCTTATTAGTATATGCACCGACCAATTGCAGTTCTGATACCCAAAAGGACACTTACCACGATGAACTCACCGATCTCATTCGGACGAGTCGAAACTCCGACATAGTTGTACTTGCAGGTTACTTCAACGCGCAGGTTGAAAAACTGGGCGTATTAGAAGCCTACCCAGGCGGTAGTTGTGCTCTGCCCAGCCAACGAACAGATAACGGCGATCTAATTCTTCAGATCTGCGCAGACCGTCATCTGTTCCTGTCAAGCACCAACTTCCGACACAGCTCTCGACGGACGGCAACGTGGCGCTCCAGTTAAACTGGTACGCTAACTCAAATCGACCACATCGCAGTAAGTTACCGTTGGCGTGGCTCAGTGCCGAATTGCAGGTCTTATTGGACCACCTGCGTTGAGTCTGACCACGCATTAGTTCTGATGCAGTTCACTCTCCGATTGACTGGTCGGCGACAAAACCAGCAAGCTCAGATAGCTCATCAACGACTATCTGTTTCAGCAGTTCATGCACTCCATGAGTCAGAGCTAATGCGCGTCAGCAAGGTGATGTAGACGAGCGGTGGGATCAGATTACGCGAGCAATGCATTCCGCAGCGAATGTTGCATGTGGGTCTGAGCCTCAAATCCATCGGAAGCATTGGATATCTCAGAATTCAGTAATCCTGATGGAGCGAAAACGGCAAGTCTCGACCTGCTAGGATCAAAATATAGTAAGGCGGCAGCTAAAACGTCGGCTCACGAAGAGCCTCAAGAAGGACCGTGAGAACTGGTGGGCAACAATAGCTAATGAAATGAAAGTAGCCGGTGCATCACGGAATAGTCAAAGACTGTTCCGACTGATACGTAATACGGGAGATCGGCGAACTCCAGTTAGTGAAACAGTCTGCGATTAGAGGGGACAAGCTATTCATAATAGGGATCAATAACTCGATCGCTGGGCAGAATACTTCAGCGAACAGTTCAGCTGGCCTAGTGTTAACCAGACTGCTTCATCTCCGATTGAAGCTCCTTGGGCAGTGCCATGCGATCCTCCAAAGGAAACAGAATTTCGATCTTGCATTCAAGCTCTGAAGTGATGAACAGCAGCAGGATCTGATGATCTCCTTCCCACTCTTTTCATGATGGGAGGTGATAACCTCGTAACCTCTATTACTACCCTACTGCGCAACATTTGGATGCAAGATCACATTCCGTCATCTTGGGGTGAATCATTGATAGTTCCCATTTTCAAGAAAGTATTCCAGAACGATTGCGAAAACCACCGCGGGATAAGTTTGATCCCAATCGTCACCAAACTGCTAGCTTCGGTTATACTTCGACGTCTGACTCCTTTAAGAGAGACCAACGTCCGTGAACAACAAGCCGGATTCCGGCCTGGCCGTGGATGTATTGATCAAATTTTTACATTGCGTCAGATTCTTGAGCTGCGTCATACCTAGACCTGAAAGGAGCATTTGACTCAGTCGACCGCGAAGCTCTAATGGGCTCTCTTTTTCGAAAACGAATGCCCCAGAAGTACGTTAACTTACTGAGGTCATGTTACTCACAAACCACCAGTCGTGTAAGGGTCTACAACGAACTAAGTAGGCTGTTCGTCAAGGGTGCTCTCTTTCACCGTTCCTGTTCAATTTATTCGTAGACGAAATACTGGAGAGCGCCCTAAGGAGACTCCAAAACGTAGGCATTAAATGGACAGCTGGAGAACGACGCGCAAAGCGCAGTACAGTAGCCACATTCGGTATGTACCTTGCACCTTCAAAGTGCCAAGTGCTGCTGCAGGACTGGGTTTAGTCTACTCCCGCTCTGAAACTCAATAGTCAGTATTTAGTTGTGGTGGATTATTTTTCCTACTTAGGTAGTTGCGTGACCAATGACGGCAGCGCAGCAAAAGAGATAACTGCCCGCCTTTCCAAGGCTCGAGCAGCGTACGCCGGATTGAAACACCTTTGGCGTAGACGCGACGTTTCACTGAACTTGAAAGGTTGTGTATATTGTGCCACCGTTCGTTCAGTTCTGCTTTATGGTTATGAGATCTTGAATGTACGAGTAGAAGATATTCGTCGATTAGACATTTTCGATTATTGATGTTTAGCCCACGTTAGATGGAGCGAACGGGTTAGTAACGTGGAGGTGAGCCGATCTCGGTTTGGAAATCTATCAGGTATAAACCTGCTAGCACACCGAATTCAGATTACTAGGCTTCGCTGGCTATGGCACGTATTGCGTATACCCAGCCATCGTCTGTCGCACCGCGCTTTATTCGTTGTAGCTAATCCGGGCTGGAGGAAACCACGTGGAGGTCAACAGATGACGTGGAGACGAGGCATGAAGAAATGCACAGAACCATCAGGTAGAGTATGTGTCTCTCGCCTTCCAGGTTGGTGTCCGAAAGGCTCCATAACTGGTTGGTTGGATACATCGAAGGATATGGCAGCGAACCGGCAGCAGTCGTTTCTTATCAGGTCAGAATGCTTGAAGCCTTATGTATGCAGAGTTCGATTGCGTACTCTGTGTGTTGACCATAATGGCTCACCTTCTTCTCCCTCCCTCAAAATATATCCGATCCCTGTCCACCTTGAATTTTACCACTAACCTTGTATGCATTATGAGTTTGGCAGCGATCAGTTAGGTTTGCCTCACTGCGTTTCGCTATACGATGATGATGATGACTCGCCTGAAGTGATTTATTCAGCCCCATCTGTGAAAACGCTGTATAAGCGATTTCAGTTCGGAGGAATTCCCTTTCCAAAATTTGGAGGAATACAATTAGATGTTTGTTCTCTACTCAGGTGATAAAAACCAAAAAAAATGACTGCACTGATTGATTCGTTTTTGGATTTAATTCAGTCTTAATGCGTCACACGCTCTATCTTTCGCTCTGTTATGGGCATTGTTATTCCCCTCTTATTCTAGACTGCAAATGAATGGCCGATTATAATGAAATTTTTACTAACTTTATTTTACCCAACCGTTTAATAGGTTTCTTGGCATAACATTTTCATCGAGCAACTGGAACTTCCCAGATGCTTTTGTAATCACGTAGTCATCCTGCTTCCAAGTCTTCCTTTATTGAAAATAATGTACTTTATACCAACCCATATTCTAGCCCGCATTCCGTTCGATGATTTCGTCCATCGCTGCTGAGACGGTTCGGGTTAACTTTTGTGCATTATTACTCTTCGTATCTACTCATCACGGCTTGATTCTCATTGACCTCCTAACGCATGTTTCATCATCTCGCTTCTGACAGATCAACCTGGATTGATCGATCCAGCTTCCACAGAACACCTGTTCAATTTGGCTGGTCGGGTACTGACGGACCATATTATTGACAGTGAGTGTTTGTTCATGTGTAAATGAAAACGCAATTAGCTCACCTGTTCTCTGTGTTTTATTGACAGCTGTTCACACGTTGATTGACAACAAAAGTGGATTATTTCACTTTATTAGTTTATAGATGAGAAAAATTTGCCGTTTATACTTCGACAGAGTTTTGTATTCATTCTCTCACTCCTTACTCATGGCGATTACAAGAGACTTCTTATATCAGGACTTTGTGGCTTGTGCAAAAACTGTATGTATGCTAAAGGAACGAAAATTAAAATGTGTATCGGGTATGAATATGTAGGTAAATGAAGATGAGGATAATCGCAATATGGTGGACAAGTCTATGAAACAATTCGACGTTTGAGCACACAGTTGAGGCGAAAATTTTCCATGTATTTTAACTAATTGGAGTTCTTTCTAAAACTGAAAGAATAGCGATTGCGAAAGCTCCAATCATAAGCTTGTAAATCCGATACCGTATGTGTTTGTGCATATATTCTCTCAAAGTGAGTCGATCACTTGTGAGATGGATCATTCATTTTTTACAATCGTGTTTAGAAACCGCTGATAACTCCTAAATGACTTTCTTTTACCCCACGTGCTTTCCGCACCCTTCGCAATAGGTGGACAGTCACTGGAAGAACGTGCCAGTCTTTTGCGCTTGGTGGCTCCTTTGCTAGAAGAGCTAAATCTAGAACATCATCAAGTAATTGCACAGCTACGCCAGGAGAAACCGCAACTAGACTTCCCAGAACTGTATACTGAAATGTTCCAGTTAAGTGAAACTGACGAACGTGAACAGAGAGAACATGCGGCCATGATGCAATCGACCGAGTCACGAAGCTAACCGAATTTCACACAGTCTCCATACGCAACCATTTCATTACTCGCTCATCCCGCTCCGAAATTCAGACCCATCCAATTCCATCCATACAAGACTTAAGACATACAAACACGCATTTCTTCCCAGACCGTTCTCATTAGCGCCTTTTTCTGCGTTGTCCTCCTCGATTTGCACCGAATTGTCCCGGTGTTTGGTTCATTATCGTCTGCGAAAACACATACAGACTCAGACAACAACGGTACATAGAGAGGAATTATGTTCTCACGTCATCCGATTTCCCCTGTCCTCGTTTTTTGCTGCTCGATCGAATTTCAGTTATACATATACTTCCTCATTCTTCT